TCTTCCTGTCTAAATTCCACCATTACCACCAGTGGTATCAACTTGCAAAGAAAGCTTTCTGTTTATGTTTCTGTGTAGCTATGACTTGGTCCATATAGAGTTTATGATAGATTCACTTATTATACATTTTCCCATGGAGAAGTACAGAGATAACCTTGATGAAGAAATGCAAGAACAGTTAAGAGAAAGTAAGCAACAAACTTGTCTTCAGAAAGGAGAAAGCATGAGAAAGAAACTGAAAATAATATTACCTTGATTATATTTGCTATAAATGGAGGCAAGCAGATATTCTGCCAGGCTTTCAAGACCCTGTTATTACACTCTACAACAGTAAAGAATATCAAATCAGATTCCATCCTGAACTAAATCGCATGCTTTCCAAATCAGTTTGAAATCCGACTCTACTCAATTACCAATTTGAAATCCCAACCAAATTTTGTTCTTGGTATACATGTCCTATTTTTATTTGTTTATTAAATTGGTTTGGTTTATTACATTGGCCAAGGTGAACTTGGCCTAGTTTCAGCTAATTAAGTATCTCAGCTGAAACTATTAAAACACAGGTTAAGCAACTGTGTAAAACAAAGTGTTGCTGATGGACAAGTTACTGACCTTTACAAGTGAACCTGATCTGGAGTATAACAATCAGACCTTAACTAGACTGAGGAATCCACGTCCATGATGGAAAGAAAACTAAAGATCAATATATCAATGTTTGTCTCTCTGTCTATCTATCACCTACCTACCTTATTTCTTTGCAGGCACATTAAGTCTATTAAAAGTTAATCTGTGTTTAAATTTTATGCAGAGCAAAATAATTACATTAGAAATAATTTGGAATATACTTAAAATTCAGTCTCTTTGTATCCCTTCTTTCTCCTGGCAGGAGAGAAAGTCCTACGAAAGGGGATCTTCAAACTTTGTCCATTTCTGAAAAACAATCAGCCATTTTCCATTGGATTACTGTATTGAACTCATTAACAACACTTCAGTATAACAAGTTACAAGTTTCTTTTATCAGGAAAATAACACATTTTGCTCAGTGGTGGGATTCAAATATGTGAACAACCGGTTCTCTGTGTGGATGCCTCTTCAGGAAATCCGTTCTGGGCCTGGGCAACAAAAAATTAGCTACTGGTTCTGCCGAAGTGGTGCAAACCGGCTGAATCCCACCACTGATTTTGCTGAATAGAATGTATCTTAAAGTAGCAAATTGTTCATTATCAGTGGCAATCTCTTGAAAAAATGAAGGTTGGTTTTGAAACAACCTAAATCTTGGTTAAATTTTTTTCTTGTTTATTTTATATGCATTAAACAGCAGGAGCAATGCAAGTTTCTCTCTGTGTCATATCCAGTTATGCAGCCAGTATCTCTTTATGAGTGAGTATTCATTTAGGTTTAATTTGCGATAAAATGATTTCTTTCTCAGTATTATGAAGTAGGCTGCTTTGTAATCAACTATTAGATAAAGGATTCTAATTTATCCTGTGCACTATATGAAAATTACTAGATGCTTGCAATTGATTTTCACCATGGCGTGAAGTATGCTGAAATGCCTACAGTAGAAATATGAAGCTATCGTGTGACTATGTCTCCATTTTTCTGTTATTTCCATATTGAGGATAAAAATCCACTTATTCAATTTAAATGTGGTGTCGGAAATAGTAAAATGGTGAACTGAGACAAGACTTTAATTTTGGCAAGCATACTTCAATCACTGCTTATTCTTATGGGAAAACCAATTGCTCACAATGTTCAGACCGGTTTTATTCACAAAGTTGTTGCCATTGCCACATTCTGACAATTGTGCAATTGTGATTTTGGAAGCTCCCTGCCAGCTTCCCACAAGCTAAGTCAATGGGGAAGCCACAGGAAGTCGGAAGTTGCCCACACTTTCATTGCTTTTTTTGACCACCTGTGGTCTTTCTGTTTATCTGTTTAAGTAAATAAATATTGACTTTTTTATTGAAGTTTGTTCACCGCTACAATTATTATTATTATTTTTGATATATACTCTTCTTAGATCATCACAGGACCATTCAGCATTGGAGTAAAAACAAAAATGTGATCAGCCTAAAATTTAATTTTCATTCTTAGCACATCAGACTTTCTCTCAAAAATGACCCGGGTGGTCCCAGGGCTATTTCATTATTTGCTAAAAATCATTTGTGCATTCTATAGAAATATGTGCTTCTAAATTGTCTCCTGATATTATGCTATACAAATTAATCCCAATGAAGGCTGACTTATTTTCATAATAATGTGTTAACTGCACTTACTTCATCTTGTCTTCTTTTCTTCTCAAATGGAATAATTATAATGCACTCCACAATATAGTGGGATCAACAGGCATTTCATAATGTGTTCTGCTCATGTTCAGCTTCAGGATGGAACTCAGATAGTTGTATTTATTTTATATAAGATATTGTTTAAATTACAAAGCTGTTTTTTTCTTATAATCTAGGGATGGCACATTTGAAACAAAAAAGTTTAACTCATGTATCTCCCTTTTAACCTTCCAAGAGAAAAGAGAAAAAAAGAGAAAGAAAAACAATGCAGTAAAGTTAAAATCTGGGAATTGCCAACGAATATAACCTTTCTTCTTAAGAAACCTCTAAGCATACAAAAGGAATGGACTTAATAGTTATGGAGAGGGTGTGACTATAAAAATATATTTTTCCCCTGCCCTGTCCTTGCTAGTTGTCTTCTTTTTAATGCACTGTCTGTGTTCACAAATTGGATGCAAAAGCTTTGGCTTCAGTTATTTAAATGAACATGTAGAAATCTAACTACTCCACTTTTGAAACCATCAAGTTGGGACTCTGTAGCCATAGCCCACAAGAATGCTTTGAAAATGACTTTTTAAGACTTCAGTGGTGGTTATTTATTTTAACAGCAGAAAAGACTGGAGACCTCTTTGAAAAATCAATTAAGAAAAAGGAGAAGGAAGAAAAAGTATATAATAATTTGCAATAAAATCCACTTGCAAAGATGTCCAATGTGGCTAATCACATGGACTTGTGGTTGGGAGCAAGGGGTGGAATTTCAAAAAGAACATGCTCAGGGAATAAAAAACAGATGTTCAGTGGTTGAAAGTCTTCCGCTTAAGCTGTGTCTAATTGAACTGCATTACATGTTCCTCTCATTTACATTCTTTTCTGCTCACCTCTGGAATTGGCCTCCAGCTGTTGTCCCTGCAAGGACAGTCAGTTTACTTATGAGGCTGTCTTTCACTTGATAATAATTGAGACTTCACAGCCCCAGGTTCCTCTTTACTACCCAAGTTTTCAGCATTCTTTTGCAAGCCAGACTATCATGTGCAACACGTTCTTCCTTCCTTTAGAAAGAAGAGTTATGGTTCCTACCTGATGACAGGTTGTATTTTCCAAAAGTGAAATTGATTGTTGTGTAGGCCATTCAATTATAGCAAGAGAGAGAGAGAGAGAGAGAGAGAGAGAGAGAGAGAGAGAGAGAGAGAGAGAGAGAGAGAGAGAGAACAAAAGCAGGAGCTTGAAAGTTAGGCAAAAGCAGAGAAGATTCTTGAATATGAAGCATTCTGCTGGGAGACAGTACAAAGGTGTTGATAGAAATATATGGTGTAAAGAGTGAACCTGTAATTAAAGGCAAAAAAACAAATGACTTCAAAGGACTGAACATCATTTTGATTTAGAAAGAAAAAGAAGCAAAAATAAAAATCCACATCATAATAATAGATTTTGCTGCTCCTCTCCAGAAGAACATGGGAGAGAAACTATGATAAAAGAAAAGAAGCAAATTGCTTGAAGTGGAAATTCAAAGAGTATAGAGATGTTCTTTGAAAGTAAAATAAAATCTCATAATGGTATTTTATGTTACAAGGATCTGTACTTCACTATATGAAAAATTATGTAGAAGATCAGAGTAGAACACAACCATGTCTTTCAGTATATATATATATGCACACAGACACCTTCACATACATACATAATCCGCCCAGTATTATTTATCATAGTAACACGGAGAAGCCACTTTCAATATGGCATCAACACATTTTCATTAAAAATAAGAAAATAAACAAGAAAGACAAAAGGAAAGAAACACCAAAGCAAACTACATACATGCATGCATAATAATGACTCAACTTACACAGAATCATATTTATCAGTATTTTCATTACATTGATAAATAGTCAGTTAAAAAGTTGAAAGCAGACACATTGCTTCGATCTAGGATTTAAAATTGTTGTTTCCTTCCAAATGCAGAATTTTTTTAGCACACTCCATGGTTGATAAATCTATCAAGCATCATAAATTGATACATTTCAAAATTTTGGTATATCATTCAACATCACATTAACTTCTTTACCCTCTTGATTCTCTTCCCAATATCATATTATCAATAATGTGAATATTCAACCAAATCAAGTTACAGTTCTGGTGTGGATTCAAATTTCTTTTATCAGACCATTGTCTTGGTTGCAGATCTTCTTCCTATCCCTCAAGCTTATTCCTTCTGTCCATTATATATATAAAAAAACACCCATTAACCCATGTAAAAAAATGAGCAGGCCTTCAATTGCTGAGTTGCTACTACCATCTTGACTTTTTAACCGCCTGCCCCTACAAATGCCCTGTACAGAAGTTATAGAGAGTAAGATTTTTGTGCCCATGATCTAAAGTAGACATGTGCAACTTTTCAAGCACAGAAGGCAAGAAAAAGGTATTTGTTTAAGCTTGTATCTGTCCTTTTCACCACTGAAGTCAGACTATGGTAATACAAATCAGAAGTGCATCATTTGCGAGTAAATCTGATGAGTTGTTATTTTATCATCACTATAAATTGTCATTAAAAAGTGACAACCATTTTTAAAAGGTAGAATGACAAAGCAAACCTATGAAGCAAGATGTAAACATTTACAGTAGTTTTGTACATTTATTAATTTGATTTGATTTCTATAGCACACCCCCCCCATCTCAGCAAATGATTCTGGGTGGCTCTCAATTCAGAAACATATATTATAATTAAAACCAAATGTAGTTCCCCACTACCACAAACTATAGAGTCAAGTTTCCAGCCTTTGGGGAAATAGAAGGGGGTCAGCACACCCAGAGTGCAATGGATGAGATTCACTTTGGGAAAACCATCTTTGTGATCATGGTGTCTCCCTTTCCAGGTAAATATATTGGCAGAAAGATCGCAGAGATGGGAACTCCCTTAGCAGGTCAACTCAAGATGCCTTCAAAAGTGTTCGCTGTAACCATGTCTGCCATTATCTCACCCGATGCTAGTTAAAGAGGACATGGCAGATCAGGAGACAGAACACCATGTGGCACAGCACCAGTGATTTCCTTAGCCTTCCTCTGCAAAGAGTTGGTAGGGCAGAAAGGACTTTACTTACCCTCACTAGACTTCTTGTGCCCTCCTGAGCAAAAAGAAAAACTTGTAATTATATAGCTTCCTGTTCCCTGTTTTGGCTACAGTTCAAAAGCAATTTCGGTTCCAGCCAAATATTTCTCTCACATTGTCTATTGATCTAGCAACTAGCAGTATTAATTAAACAATTGTCTTTTTTTTTTTATAGAACAGCAAGTTACAGGCATGTCAGTAAATGTACTTTCTTTGTTCCTGTTAAACAGTGGTTTAAACAGAAGATTCCAATTTCCCCGAGGGAGCCACTGGGTGGAACAGCTTGGAAATGAAGGAATCCTGGGAAGATCAACTTGTCCTCAGCTGATCCCTGGAATGCCTGTTGGCTTTCATTCACATGATGTAAAAACTGCAAAAATGTATTAATACATTTTTATTATTTTATAATTATTTTATTTAAAATGTTCTTAATAACAGAAATAGCAGCTTATCATTAAGCCAGTGGTGGGATTCAGCCAGTTCGCACCAATTCGGCAGAACCGGTAGCTAATTTTTTGTTGCCCAGGCCCAGAATGGACTTCCGGAAGCGGCATCCACACAGAGAACCGGTTGTTTGCATATTTGAATCCTACCACTGCATTAAGCCCTGGTGGTGCAGTGGTTAGAATGCAGTATTGCAGGCTACTTCTGCTGACTGCCGGCTACCAGCAGTTTGGCAGTTCGAGTCTCACCGGCTCAAGGTTGACTCAGCCTTCCATCCTTCTGAGATCAGTAAAATGAGGACCCAGATTGTTGGGGGCAATATGCTGACTCTGTAAGGCGCTTAGAGAGGGCAGTAAAGCACTGTGAAAGGGTATATAAATCTAAGTGCTATTGCTACTAATAAGCATAGCTCAATAACATCCTAAATATGATTATATGGAATTTATACCTGTGGATGGCATGCTTCCATAAAACCTTGGCATACTTCCATAAAGCCCTCATGTTTCAGGAAATTATCCTGATTCAACATTAGTGTTTTTCTCCAAATTGAATATTAATTTCCTCAGATGAGAAATATAAAACTGTATTTTTTCCAGTAGCATTAGGAAATCAAACCACACAGCACATCTGTCTGTACACAGACATACAAATAAGATGTTTTCTTTTGCTTTCTGTATGGAATTAATTAATTGAGAATTGTTGTTTGAGAAATTATTCTGGTTGGGATTTTTTTTACAGGGATAAATGCTTACATGTTTTTGTTTTTATATTACTGACAATTTTCAGGATGGTTTCTAATATTACAAATAAAATAAAAACTTTGTGATAAACTTGTAAAAGCATTCTTCCAAGTGTGTGTATTTGGGGGTGTAGCCGGAGTGATTAAGCATTTAGCATGAAGAAAAAGCTATATAATCTTATTTTCTTACTTTGAAATTGGACTTGAAGATAGCAACATTTGAGCAAAATATTTCTAAGCTTTTGCCTCCTTTTATCTAGGTAGAACAGAATGGAACAGAATAACAGAGTTGGAAGGGACCTTGGAGGTCTTCTAGACCAACTCCCTATTCAAGCAGGAGACCCTATACCATTCCAGACAAGTGGCTGTTCAGTCTCTTCTTGAAAGCCTTCAGTGATGGAGCACCTACAATGTCTGAAGGCAAGCTCTTCCACTGGTTAATTGTAGATAATGTTAGATAACATTGTAGATAATGTTAATTGTTAATAGTAGATTGATGTCCTATACTAAAATATAATCTATTTTTCTTAGTATAGTTGCCTGTACAGCAGTTTGTTGTCTCCACAGTAAATGCCTTTTGCAGGATCTAAGTGCCATATAGTCTAGACCAGGGGTAGGCAACCTTGGCTCTTTTATGACTCGTGGACTTCAACTCCCAGAAGTTCACGAGTCATAAAAGAGCCAAGGTTGCCTACCCCTGGTCTAGACATTTCTTCTACCAATTGTATGACCCAATTTCAATTCAGCAATACTTATATAATCATAATTAAAGTGCAGCGTTTCCACTGATTATGCAATGAGTTCCTTTTAATAATGTATTTCTGTTTGTGTTCCTAATGCACTCCTGAATAGTATATGTAGAATTGTACTTTTTGAGTTTCTATCTCTACTGGTCTTCATTTTAATAGGTAGCTTTGGGAGGTTTTATTCCTTGGATTGAAACATTCAAGCTGCAGCTGGTATTCTCAACTTTTGGAGGCAGAGGCAGTTAATAGGTTTGTCATGTGAAACAAAAATTCATCAACATATTTCTGATAGTACATTTATGCTAACTGCATAATTTAGAAATCTGACTACACATCATCATGCCCATGCATCGAGGTAAATCTTATAGAATAGAATATCTTTATTGTCATTGTGTAACTCACAACGAAATTAAGTGCTGTCCACAGTGCACACTACACACAACTAAAAACCACAAATAAGAACATACATTATATACACATATCCTTCACATTCTATTCACCATCGTGCTGCTCCTAATATTGCACTTCAATGTTGCACTATACGGTGGTGTTTAATATGGTTACAGCTCTGGAATAAAAACTATTTTTCAGCCTATTTGTCTTTGTTTTTATTATCCTGTGCCATCTGCCAGATGGTAATAGTTCAAAAGAAAAAGAAAAAGAATGTCCGGGATGAGATGAGACTTTAAGAATATTTTGAGCTTTCCTAAAACAACAGAAACTGTACAGTTTGTCCAGGGTGGGAGGAGACAGTAGCCAATCATCCTCTGGGTGATGGTAATGACCCTCTGGAGCACTTTCCTATTTGCTACTGTGCACAAGCAAACCACACACAAATGCAATAGGTTAGAATGCTCTCTATGGAGCAACGGTAGAAGGTCACCAGCAGTTTTTCATTCAGTTGTTGTTTCCTGAGAAGTCTCAAGAAATATAATCTCTGCTAGGCCTTCTTAACCAATGCTACAACATGAGCACTCCAGGTCAGGTCCTCCTGTATGGTAACACCCAAAGTCCTTAAGCTTGCCACCCACTCCACACAGTCTCTGCTGATGATCGGGGGCTGAATGTCTGATGTATTCCTCCTGTAATCTACTATAAGCTGCTTGGCTGTGAAGAATTAATCAGGCAATTAGACAACCAATTAGACAACTTTGAGTTCCTGATTGATATTGGCAAGTAAAAGCGGGCAAAGAACCATAAGATGCTCATCAGGGCTATGCAAAGCACTGAAGGAGTACTGTGAATCCATAGAAGACACTTTGCTGGTACTGTCTGGTTTTGCTAGAAGTTCCAGCAGACATGCCTTCTCTGAATGACAATAACTGTGCAGATAACCATGAATAGTTAAGTTTTCAGGATGATGCCATTGCTTTGAAATTCTGAAGAGCATATTTTCCATCCCATTTCCTGGACTCTTTGCTACTGATTTTCTCAGCTGCTGGTCCAATGATTATTTTTCTGTGGGGTCTTTGGCGCTCTCTGAACTTCATTGTTTTCTTGCAGATGTTTAATTACCTAACTAGGTAACATCATCAGTGCTGGAAGTGCTCAGCAGACTCCACTTCCTTCTAGTGCTGATGATGTTACCTAGTTGGATCTGCAACAAAACCACCAAACTCAGAGAACACCAAGGGCTCCATAGTTCAACCTTGAGGTACAAATATTTCATTTTATTGGTTATTCATTTTCTGCAGGAACAACGAATAGGCACAACAGCATATTCTGCTTATCATACCTATTTAAGTAAACAGAATATCTCATCTTTTTAAAGGGAACCCTCTTGAAGACATTAAGAGAAGAACGATACAATTCAAGGCCCCATATCTAACCACATCAAATTTCAGTCACAATGGAATCTGTATAGACAATGGAGAAGAAGATAATATATCTTCACTTATAGAACAAAGAAGGGCCCTGGATTGCACTTATTTTCTATCAGGAACTAGATTGAGGTTTATGAAACAGGCATCATGATCAAACGTGTGAAGATTGTTGCACTTTTTCACACTGCATCATGTTGGAGTTGCTTTTCTATTCAGTAACTGCAAGCAAAAAGAAGACCCTTTCGGCTTGTTAGTAATAGACCTTCAAGCACTCTTCAAAAAGTGTTTTCTTATACATGGACCACATAGAGTACCATTATTTAATCTTGAAAAAGAGGAAAACTGTTTTATCTATGAACAGCAGGACAGACATAGAAAAAAACAAAAAAGAGATACAGATAGATATATTTTGTATCAGGTCTGATCATTTATCTCACTGGAGCATTACAGTAGCATATTTCAATCTGCAAATATGGCACTGTAGGAAGACATGTCAATATCCATTCTTAATACTATAAACTTAAAGGCAAAAAGAAGTGTCTTTCCTTTCCTTATTTTCTTTTGGTTCTGAGAGCATAGCATTCCAGGCATGGTTGAAAATCATCAGAAACTTTTAGAAGTTTCATTGCTGGTCTATATTTTATTAAGTTTATGATCCAATCTTTGACTTAGTAAATGGGCCTTCCTTTCATGTTCATGATTATTTAAAAGAAGTGTATAAGGACACAAATATTATGAAATCTCATTTCATAGGTGGGGATTGAAAGCATTATTAATGAATCTCCATTAAATTGGTGAGTATCATCCACAGTGATTTGTATCACTTACATAAGACCATTATGCAAATTATGCAAATGATATCATTTGTGTCAATTTATGCAAAGTTTGTAATTATGCAAATAAAGTTATGTCAGTTGCGTAAAGGTGCTAATAGGTGTGGAAAATTCCAGGCAAAGTCCACAGCATTATGATTTAGTAAATCAAAGATTTAATCTATTGCAAGGCTGTCCAACCTTGACAACT